ATCGGAGAGGGGCGTGTCTGGACGAGCTTTCTGAACTTGCTTGCTCCATAGGTCCCCTCACGGGCGTGTACTTGAATTACCGCTAAGTCGTGATCCACACTGCGTGTCACGAGGAGGAACTTCGTTTATTTTCTCACATTTGCTCAGATTTGCTCACTTTCGCCCTAACTCCTTTGTAGCGCGGTTTAAAGGCAAGACAAAGGTCTCCTAAATATTCGTGGGCAACTCTATCCTACCCACGGGATAAATTGTTCCACTCGGCCTCATTTTGTTGCTTTGAGTGTCTGGAAGTTGCTGACCTCGAGGAGGGCTAGTATAGGGCATTTAAACACGACTCTGAGACGATTCTCTCTTAGGCACTATCGTGATTATCGACAGACCTTGGATTGGACTGAAAACCTTCAATTGCCTCCGGGCTCCTTAGAAGAGGCGAAATGCTCGGCCTTGGTGAAAAGGGTATCCATCACTCCCTTCTCTCTGGGAGGCGCCGTGCATCCTATTTTCATTCAGAATCGGTGGCGGCATCTTGATTGCAACTGAACCCATACGATTGCTCACGCGGGGTACAAGTCAGTGTTTTTGTGCTCCCCAGACTAGTTTGATATCGGCTCAGCGTGGTAAAAGGCGTTGTTGGCCTAGACGATATGTTTTGCGCGATTTGAAGGGTTCCTGCTAACATAATTACCTTTGCCCGACGACTAGCAGGGGCATAAGTTACCATCAACCTTTCTTTCTTGTGTTATGCTTTGCAGGCTTTTCAAGGCACATTTTACGATCATGGCCATTGAAATGAGCTCTCAACCAAGGCTGCAAGAGTCCGTAGAGGAATCTGTAGTGGGTACAGGAAAACTACGTACAAAGCGGGTTGACCTAAATTAAATTATTCAGAAGAAAAGCGTGTTTACTTGCTTATACTGGGCGACTATCTACTCTTTAGTGAATAAGCTATGGCCTTATTAAATTGAAAGGTTAGGCTTATATTTTTTGCGCGGTCGAGAGAATTTTGTCTGGGCCTTTCCCTTTCCTTCATATGGCATTATAACCCCAAATGTTCATTAGGTAGGAAGTTGTCAATTTTTGCAAGTAATCCATCTTGGATCCATGGGAACATGCTGTGGGGCGGAAAGGATTTTCCAAGAACCCCTCACCTTTTAATATATCGTGTTGCCTAGAGAGATTTTAACTGGTACGACGCCGCCTCTAGAGAACAACCACCATTGGTGTTTACTACACACCTTGCCACTCCAGGTGTGTAAGGTAAAACACTATGTAAGTGGTGTGTTCTGGCCGGAGGCGGTACTCGTACCAGTACGTGAAAAACATAGCTAATAATAAAATAATCAATATTATTTGTAGTCTTGCAAGAACAGTTAAAGACGGACAGATCTCACTCGCGTGCTCGCAAAGGCGTCGTCGAATTAAATCAGGTCCTCGATGGGCCAGAAGTTGTATTTACGAACTTAATAGCTCCCCCAAAATCGAATAGGATTCTGAAGACGAGTTCACCGGTGAAGAAACCCGGAAAAAACTAGCAAACCTAGAACCGAGCAAATGGACCTTCTTGCCCTGGAAGGCCACTGCTCGTTCGTTGCGAATATGCCGCGTCTCGCGTCAGCCCCAAAGAGATGCCCCGTCTCTCCACTGGTACTTTCCCTTTTCGACCTTTACGTTGGGGGTCCTCGTTGAGTGGGACATCAAAAAGGTTAATCAATGCCTGCTGCCCTACAACGTTTTGTCTGTTTCCAGAAACCCCCGCATCCCTCTGAGCTCAAGCTCATTCGATGACATTTTATCCCACGCCAACAGCATTTGAAAAGATTCTTCCCCTTCGTTTCAGGCCTTTGTTGTTGAAGATTCCGATACAATAGGAGGATTAGAAATGCCTGAGTAAGCATTTCCATGTGAAACAACGAAGACAAAAGCTCGGGCAAACTGCATTGTCTTGGTTGACTTCATCAGCTGTACAAAAAGTATTGTTTGAATGTGTAAGAACTCAGAAATCACAAAGACCAGCGACAAATCTCATTGTGCAGCGAATAAACACCACTGTTCTGTCATTAATGACAGCTGTTTATCAAATCTTATGACACCGCTGATTATTTGTGCAGTTAGCAAGCGTGAATTGGAAATTGCTGCCGTTCGGGTGAAGGATACTGATTTATGAACTTAAAAACCAGACAGTGAATCTGTTTGCATTCCTCCGAACACATTTCACGGTCAGTTCGTTGAAGCAGCTGTGAGTGAGGCGGCTGGGTCCGCAAGTGCACGAGTAACGCTGATTTTGCGATTTAAAATCGTGACAAGAGCATAGGGGCTTGCGAATTGCACCTATCCATCCATCACATCAGCGCAGGTAAAAACGGCAACCGTTGCAAATGCGTTTGTGTCTGCGTCTCATTCGTCCCTGTGCTCTTTCGCGTTCTATTTTGCCGACACCCAAATCCTCCAGCTACTGGGTTATGCCTCTGAAAACCTGGGTCTCGGTTGTGAGCGGAACGATCCGAGATGAACTCAAGCAGCCAGCCACCCACACTGCTGCAGTGGTTGCGTCAGTTCTCGGCTTCTCCACCTGCGACCCTCATCTTTTTCCGAGATATGTAGTACCAGTGTTGGACTACCTGTCTTGTGCGCCCGTCAACCCGCTGGCGGAAGCCCTTGAGCTGCGGGCTTACTCTTCTGCGATTTTATTTTTTGGCTATTGATCCACGCCACGCTTCAAATTTTACTTTCGACTTCAATAACTGTACCCGATGACCGCGTACTATGTCTTTAAGTTTTTATGGCTTTCTGAATAAAAGAGTACAAACCTGGGGCAGATAGTAATGTGATGCACGATCTGTGACAAAGTGCGCATATGAAGAGCCTCACGTATCCACGTCAACGGATGTGTGGAACATGTCCTGAAATAATGTATTCGAAGAGGATTGATTTTTTTAAGTAAATCGCACTTCAGGGTTAGTTATGAGGCTGATTAGCAGCTGTGGCGAAGGTTATGGTAGCGTTCATAAACATAGGTCATACGGTAAGGCTACAGGTTCTTACTAGACCCGGACGCCTAGCTGACTTTTCCTGGGCGTCGATGCCAAAAGGAAGGCTCAGAATCGATGTCTAGTTCGATTCCCAATCGGGTTTTCCCGGTTCCCAATTCGCGTCCCTTAGGGGGACACCGAGGAAAGACAAAATATTCACTGAAGGGTATACACGTGTCCATCTAGTTGGTTCAGTGGTGATGTCAAGAGTTTAGTCCATGCTTTCTACCTTACCAATTACCGGACTTGCTTAGAAAGGTCTCCGTGGTACTGAAAGTATGACACTTCTGCTTGAAGGCAGTGATGACGACAGGCTCTAGAGGGCCTCACTGGGGTTGCGCGGTTGCTTAGTACGCCAATGACGAAAAAGCAGGTATACGTAAAGAAATCGCGAAAACGGGACTCCCTCCTTATTTGGCCGTTGATATTTGCTCGAGGATGGCCGCAGCTAAGACGGCAGACGTATGGACGAGTTTACCGCTTGCTACATGCTGCTTTATTTCCCAAACAAAGTTGGGTTTGTCGATAAAGAAAGTACCCCCCTTCATTTGCATATAACGGGCTGTTTACTATTTTGTTTTCCGTGCAAACTTAAAGTCAACGAATTCTGCGATGCGTAAGCTAATTGTTTACCTACTTTCACAACAACACTGCTGTCGTCATGCAAAGCTTGCAGAAGCCTTCTGGGACATTGTTCTTGCAGCGCTCCGGTGACGGCGGTAATGGCGTCACAAAGCCAGTCAGTGGGGACCATGAGTAGCCCGTTGAATATTCAATTCCATAGATTATCTTTGTATGGGGAGGATTTAGAATAGTGGCAAGTGGCACCGCTTTTCATGCTCACGGTCCGGGGGTCAAATCTCGCTTCGGCTTGCACCCATGCCAAGCAAGCCTTGCAACCCTTGCGGTCGGTTGTTTAGTACCACACTTGTTTGAAAATATAAAAACTTTGAATTCTATAGCCCTTGTGGGTCATTACACCATATCACATTCAAATGCCACTACAATTCTCAATGGCAGTGGAATGCGTGGCGCATCCAAGAAAGAATTGATCGGCGTCGT